AGTTGACGGCGATAATTACAAAGCATTTTCTTCCTTTTTTGCTGTCTACTTATCTATCAATGAGAACTATATTTTGAGGGGTATTTTTAGTGGACAACGAAATAGGAAACAAAAATATGGGGGAAAAACTTTCCATGCACTACTTTACTAGTTTCAAGGGAAAATAGATAAGAGGAAAAAAAAGAAATAATGACAAATACGCACAAATCATAAAGAGAGAAATTTTATTAAACTAAGAAATTTAATAGAAGTTTTGGAATTTCAAAAAAAAAAAATTGTTGATCGAAGTTGGCTTACTTCGAATTTATTGTATTTAATTATTATAAAAAATAAATTCCCTTATTTAATTTTCTATAATAAAAATTTATTTTTAGACTTAATATTGAATTTTATAACCGTTATTTTTTGGAACCTGCTAAAAATCAATTAAAAAATGTTTGGCATTTAAAATCAAAATCGTCTGCCAAAAAACCCCAAATATTTTTGCATAATACATTTTCTTAATCACTCCAATTATAATTTTATGTTTTAAAAAACTTTTTGTATTTATTTTGTCTGGAAATTAACATATTTACGATACCTACCTACCTTCTGTTGTCGACTGTCTGGCCCCGTGCATTTTAGCCGGTGCGGGTTTAGTGCACCGATTATTATTAGCACAGGTTTTAAACAGAAATCACGTTTTTACGAACTGGTTTCTAAAACAAACATAAATAAATTATCAATGGATTGTTTCAGTTTTTTTATTCTATTTAGCATTTTTAGTTATTCCCAGAAAAAATAGTTTAACCCTTATTTTTTATTTAAATTGTTTTTGTTTTTTCTTCTTTCCACAAATGCAATAAAAACAAAATATTACATCAGTATGAAAATGTTTTAATAAAAATGAATAAAATAGATAGACAATGCATTACAGAAAATGTAATCAGTCTTGACCTTCTGAATTATTAACTGCGACGATATTCGCTCTTGATAGGAATGTAGGCGTTACAACGACTACGTAATTATCAAACAAGAACAACAACAATGCAGTCAATAAATAATAAAAAATATATAAAATTAATTCGAAATATTTCTCCTTCACTTTGATAAATCTTTATAAAAAATTGTAAAGAATCCACGCCTTGGATAGATCTCAAAAAATAATTTTTAAAAAATCCAAACCCCTGACAGCCCTTTAAAAAATAATTTTTAAAAAAATCCAAACCCATGACAGCCCTTAAAAAAAATAATTTTTAAAAAAATCCAAACCCTTGACAGCCCTTAAAAAATCAAATCTGAACCGATTTCAACACACCTTATCACACATCATTTTTTCCTCAATTGCATTCGCTATGCAACATTTTGCTCAATCAGACAAATATTGGGAGTTTGATGCGATTTTGACACAACTTCGCAGACATCAATCGGGACATAATTCATTACTATATGCAAAATATTGTCTAAATGGACCAATGTTGGCAGTATGGTGTTTCATTTACATAAAATCGGGCAAAAGTATATATGGAAGCTATATCTAAATCTGAACCGATTTTAACTAAACTTCGCAGACATCAGTCTGGACCTAAATCAGTACTCTGTGCAAAATTTTGTCCCAATCGGACAAATATTGGAAGTTCGGTGCATCATTCACAAAAAATCGGACGATACTATTATGTGAGCTATATCTAAATCTGAATCGATTTTCTCCAATTTCAATAGGGTCCGTTCTTGGGCCAAATAAGTGAATTGTGCCAAATTTCATCCAAATCGGATCACTAATGCCGCTTGTACGTTGTTAACAAAAATACATGAACGGACATGCGTAAATCGACTCAAAAGGAACCATGGGTCTATCTCGATTCCTTTTGCTTGTTACAAACACATGCACAAAGACATAATACCCTGTAAATCAGTGTGGGGAAGGCCATAAAAACGACTTTGATGGACCTCAAAAAATAATTTTTAAAAAATCCACGCCTAATGGATAAAAATCAAAAAATAATTTTTAAAAATCAAAAAATAATTTTTAAAAATCAAAAAATAATTTTTAAAAATCAAAAAATAATTTTTAAAAATCAAAAAATAATTTTTAAAAATCAAAAAATAATTTTTAAAAATCAAAAACTAATTTTTAAAAATCAAAAAATAATTTTTAAAAATCAAAAAATAATTTTTAAAAATCAAAAAATAATTTAAAAAAAAATTCATTGATAGACCTCAAAAAATAATTTTTAAAAAATCCACGCCTTGGATAGATGTCAAAAAATAATTTTTAAAAAATCCACGCCTTGGATAGATGTCAAAAAATAATTTTTTAAAAAATCCACGCCTTGGATAGATGTCCAAAAATAATTTTGAAAAAATCCACGCCTTGGATGATGTCAAAAAATAATTTTGAAAAAATTCACGCCTTGGATGATGTCAAAAAATAATTTTTAAAAAATCCACGCCTTGGATAGATGTCAAAAAATAATTTTTAAAAAATCCACGCCTTGGATAGATGTCAAAAAATAATTTTTAAAAAATCCACGCCTTTGATAGGTCCCACAAAACCATAATTAAAAAAAAAATTTTAAATTTTAAATAACCCACGCCTTGGATAACCCTTGGATAAAATAATTTATAAACCTGTAAAGAAAGTTCAAAAGTCGGAGGGGGCCGACTATATGATGCCCTTCACCACTTTGGGTACATACAAGAGATGTTAATATCTGAGATGGATGGATAGGTATGAACCAATTAAAAAAAAACACCATACACATACCATTCTGAAATCAATGAAATATTGCATGTCAAACGGGCATTCATTCTTTGGTGTACCATTTGTATGAAATTGAGTAAAATTATGTATGGGAGCTATATATAAACACATGGACCTAATTGAGCAATCGTTGCATACACCATTTGTTATCAGTCTAAATTCAATTTAATACCCTCTGCCAAATCTCGTGTAAATCGAACAAACATAGGCCCTTCGGTGCAATATTTACATAAAATCACACATCCTTTTTTCCTCAATTGCATTCGCTATGCAAAATTTTGATCAATCAGACAAATATTGGGAGTTTGGTGCATCATTCACAAAAAATCGGACAAAATTATATATGGGAGCTATATCTAAATCTGAATCAATTTTAACAAAACTTCGTCCACCTCAATCTGGACATTCAGTACTCTGTGCAAAATTTTGTCTCAATCGGATCAATATTGGCAGTAAGGTGCCCCATTTACATAAAATCGGACGAAACTATATATGGGAGCTATATCTAAATTTGAACCGATTTTAACAAAACTTCGCAAATATCAATCTGGATCTAATTCAATACTCTGTGCAAAATTTTGTCCCAATCGGAAAAATATTGGGAGTTTGATGCATCATTTACATAAAATCGGACGAAACTATATATGTGAGCTATATCAAAATCTGAACCGATTTTAATCAAACTTCGCTCACATCAATCTGGACCTAATTCAGTATTCTGTGCAAAATTTTGTCTCAATCGGACCAATGTTGGCAGTATGGTGTTTCATTTACATAAAATTGGGCGAAACTATATATGCGAGCTATGTCTAAATCTGAACTGATTCCAACAACATTTCGCATACTTAAGTATGGACATAATTCAGTACACTGTGCCTAATTTTGTCTCAATCGGTAAAATATTGGTAGTTTGGTGCATCATTTACATAAAATCGGACGAAACTATATATGGGAGCTATATCTAAATCTGCACCGATTTTCTCCAATTTCAATAGGGTTCGTCCATGGGCCAAATAAGTGAACTATGTTAAAGTTCATCCAAATCGGATTATAAATGCGACGTGTACTTTGTTAACAAAAATACGTCGACAGACAGACGGACATGTGTAAATCGACTCAGAAAGTGATTCTATGCATATTCTCAAAAGGAACCATGGATCTATCTCGATTCCTTTTGCCTGTTACAAACATATGCACAAAGACATAATATCCTGTACCACAGTGTTGCGAAGGGTATACAAATTCACGACTTTGATGGATCTCAAAAAATTATTTTTAAAAGTCAAAAAATAATTAAAAAAAATCCTTTGATAGACCTCAAAAAAAAAAAAAAAAAAATCCACGCCTTTGATAGACCTCAAAAAATAATATTTAAAAAAAATCCACGCCTTTGATAGACCTCAAAAAAGTTTAAAAAATCCATGCCTTTGAAACCTCTAAATATATTAAAAAAATCCACGCCTTGGATACCTCAAACCTCAAATAATTTTTAAAAATTCCACTCCTTTAATTTTTAATTATTTTTAATATTTTTCGTATTCTGTCAATGGTTTGAATAAAAAAATATTTTTCCAAAAACAAAACCACCATAAGCTTCCCTGAAACACAAATTTGACTTCCAAGGAAATTATTCAAATAATTGATAAAATTAAAAAGAAGAGAATTTCCAAATTTGCATTGTCAAGTTTCAAATTTACAGTCAAGATTTTGTCAAAATTAATTTTTATTGTAGAGTTTAATGACTCTTTGTGGCGGGACATGAGACATAAGACGACATTGTTTTACTGCCACATAACTTGTCTTTATTGCTGCATCTTCCTTTTGAATCATTGAGCAGACACAGAGTGTGTTTGACCATGAGCAGATTCTGGAATGTTTTCAATGATGCTATTGTATTGCTGTTTCTTGATTGTCCATTATTCAGAATGACTTTATTTTTGTGGATAATATTTTTGACATTTATGATTTGTCATTGGGGTTAAATCAATAATTTCTTCCTGCAAAAATTCTGGATATAAGTGGTTGGGAGATAAAGGAGAAATTGTTAAATACAATTTTGCACCTCTATTGTTTCATATATTTAATGGCATCAATTATTTATGTATTTAAAAAAATATATTTTTCCATCACTTTTTAAAAATTATGTTTTCCAGGAATATTTGTTAAAATAGTTTACCTCCCTATTCCTTTATAAAGCCCTAATATTTTTTTATTGAAATTGATCCCTTACTAATTTCCTCTCCTCTTTCTCTTCCAGGTTTCTTATCATGTCGACAGGTGTTAAATCTCCTAACCATGTTTGGCTTTATGCTGAACTATGCGTTGCGTGTAAATCTTACCATAGCCATTGTGGCAATGGTAAAACCAGAAAATATCACCACGACCACCAAAGATGATAGCCTTGCGGGAAACCTAACGAGCACAACAACTACGACAACAACTACAGTGGCACCCAGTGCAAATGGTACCTCCGCGCTCGATGAAGAACTTGATGATCGTTTCGCTTGGGATACGTATCAACAAAATTTTGTACTCGGTTGCTTTTTCTGGGGTTACATTCTAACTGAGCTGCCTGGTGGCCGTCTGGCAGAATTAATTGGTGGTCGTCGTGTCTTTGGCCATTCTATGCTGTGGGCTAGTCTACTGACTTTGATCACACCGTTGGCGGCGCATATCAATTATGTTTTCCTCATTGTTGTTCGTGTTGTATTGGGCTTTATGTTGGGCGCTTCATGGCCTGCCATTCATCCTGTTGCTGCTGTTTGGATTCCACCAAATGAGAGATCGAAATTCATGTCCAATATGATGGGTAAGTGGGAGGGTGCTATTTTTTCAGTAGTTTTTAGAAGAGGATTTAATGCAAATATTTTCTTTTAGCTTCTTCCCTTGGTGCTGCTATTACTATGCCTATCTGTGGTTTCCTCATTTCTGTTGCCGGTTGGTCCAGTGTTTTCTATGCAACTGGTAAGTTAACTTAAAAAGTGGAAAATAATTTTCCGACGCCACCAATTTGCAAAAATTGGACCGTCCGTCTCTTGTCATTACGCTATCTTCTGAAGGAATTGAGATATGGTGCTGAAATTTCGCATAGGTTTGTCTTTTGTCTGCAGGCAGGTCAAGTTCGAAGATGGGATATATCGGTCCACGTTTAGTCATAGCTCTCAAATAAGGGTACCCACCAATTTTCGGTATTTTGGGGTTCTTGAGCGCGTTTTACAACCGAATTCGCAGAAATTTGGTACATTGTATTCTTATTGGGTACTAAATTCCTCCACAAAAAATTATAAATATAGGTTGACTTTTTCTGGTAGGCGTTTTTTCCCGTATTTTGGGGTTTTTTTTATCGTATTTTTACACCGAATTGGCTGTAATTTAGTATTTGAATTCTGAATAGGTACCAAATCTCTCCACAAATAATTATGAATGTAGTTTAATTTTTTCGGATAGTCCTCATATAAGGGTACCACAAATTTTCGCTATTTTGGGGTTCTAGAGCGCGTTTTTCACTTGGTCCAAAGAAACATGAGGTCTAGAACCAATATTTCGATGAGGTACTATTTTACCGTGTCAATGTGTATACACCCTAATTAGCCATAAGGCTGAGGGTATAATTTTCTTTTAAAAATGTTTGGTTTACATTATGGTTTACATAATCGGTTTGTAGAAATGTCGGTATAGGTCCAATTTTTGGTATGTTCCCTATATTTTAATTTCAAGTACCTGTCAGTATATCTATGGTGGAGGATATCCAAAGTTTTTTTCACTTGTTTAAGGATATTCTTTTCATCACTAGCTGATCCTCAAATGTGGATTTCTATACCCTCAGCCATATGGGCATATGGACTTTGTGCTTCATTTTATAACTCGCGTTTCTTTTGATCCAATCAGTTTCAGACAATTTGAAATCGATTTACACAGCTGTCTGTCTGTCTGGTTGATGCGCATGATAACACTCATGTTCGAAGATCGGGAATATCTACCCACTCTCTCTGGTACCTCATAATATTTCTTCCAAGCTTACATCAAGTTCGAAGATAGGGAATATCTTATATATTTAGTGCAAATATCGTCGATATATGTCCACCTCTTCAGTTACTTCCCCACAAACTATCACAATTTTAAAAAAATATAAATTTGAAAAAAAAAATGATCCATCTTGACAATAGACCACAGTCTATTGTCAAGGAGCATTCGATGACCTCGGTAAACCAAAATTGCATACAAAAGTCGGGATAAGGGTATACAACATATGTCATATGCAGAGGTGATATGTATGAATCTCTGAAACCCCTTCCATTATTTATGGATCCTTTGAAAGTTGTTTAGGTACCGGTTATTTGACCGCATAGATTACTTCCTACACCATGGCACTGTCCAGGCGTTTTCTGATTGTCAACTATCCATAAATTCTTTGTTCATATCAACCCAATATATCAAGATCAATATATCCAACCAAATTCAAATAATGTCCATTATCTTAAATTTATACACTTTCAGTGCCAATTACCAAAACCTTAACTCTATACTCACCACTCTTGTAATGTCATATAATTTTTTGTTTGTTGCAATATATCAAACACGTTATTTAGTCTTTAAAAGGGAATACAAATATTTGAAAACAATTAATTATTTATTTAATTTATTATACATTGTTGTTTCATTTTGTTTTCCCTCTTGATGGTGTGGCATTAATTATTTATTTCAATAATTTACATTTTTCTATTTAGCTCCAATAATTAATGCAAATATTTGTTGTGTGTCTTATCATTAGACAGGAAAACACTCTATCACATTGTATTCACACTTGGTTTTAATTAGTCAATCAAGTGGCAATATTAGCATTGTGCCTAACGAACAATTGTGTGAAATAGTGCAATGACCTATTTATCTACCTGTTTGGGGGGAGTTAATTTTTATTTACACATATTTTGTTGTGAATCGTGAAATAGAACTAATAAATTCTGCACATGAGAACTTCCATATTTCATAGACAACTAGGTGTATTTTTAAATAGCCGAAATCCTACGCTTAATTACTTCTATAGTTTTCCATCCGACAAAATGTGGACAGCTAAATTTTCAAATCATATCAGACGTGAAGACATGTTGTGTACACCTACTTACATATTGGAAATTACTACTACCGAAAACGGTATTGTATTTTCAGCTGATCCTGGTCCAGTTTGCTCTCATATATTTGAAGACCCCTTTTTCCAAAAAATGTTTCCTTCTTAGTTATTAATATTATTCTTATAAAACATGTATCCTTCTTCCTTTTTAAATGCTACATTTCAGTTTTATTCATTTTTTATTAATTGTAAACGTATTCTTTCTATTCCAGGCGCCGTTGGTCTAATTTGGTCAGCTATGTGGTTCACTCTGGTCTATGAGACACCCGCTACACATCCCCGCATTACAGCCGAAGAGCGTCGTGAAATTGAAGAGGCTATTGGTACAACAACATCTAAGAAACGTCCCAGCTATGTACCATGGGGTGATCTATTCTGTTCACCAGCTGTGTGGGCCATTATCATCACACACGGATTGTCTGTGTTCGGTTTCTTCACAGTTATTAATCAATTGCCCACATTTATGAATCAGGTTTTGGGTTTCGATATTAAGAAGGTAAGTCGTCGATATCATTTTTCAAATCAGATACAGTTCTTAATATATTTTTTCTATTATTTTGTTCTATAGAACGGCCTCTTCTCCTCATTGCCATATTTGGGTAAATACATCATGGCCTTCGGTTCATCGTGTTTTGCTGATTATCTTCGTCAAAAGAAAGTTTTAAGCACAACTGCTACCCGCAAAGCCTTCACAACATTTGGTAAGTTTTCTTAAGGACTTTATATTTTTCGAGAAATTATATAAATATATAATATATTCTAGAATTTTTTTAAATAAGATATAATATTTTTACACCCTAACAGTGTTGTAAGGGTCATATCTTGACTGAGTGTATGTAGACATATGTTTTTGTCCTTCCGTCTGGTCATCATAATTTGTAAACCCGATATAGACCACAGTTATGGACAGATTATCACGAAATTTTGCTTGTATGTTCGATTGGGGCAAAGAAGTCGTCTATTTTTTGTTCTGCTAATATTTAGTGGATCAAATGGACCAAAAACATTATCTTTGTCTGTTTTTTTCTGGTCCTTTTTTTCTGGACTACAATTATGTCACGACATTTCTGTCTGACTATTCCGATCCGCTCACTGGTTTTGTTTTAGAAAAATGCCCTATTTTTTGTATTTATTTGTATCAAAAACGTTTTATCACCAATTTCCCTCTATAAAAATCATAATTTAATAAAAAAATAAATAAAACTGAAATCTTAACAACCACGAATTAATGTATTGCATTATGATATATGTTCCATTTCTCATCATTTGTTCATGTCTCTTGGAAAAAAATTTCAACATTACCTAAATAACCCCTAGGACATCACCGTAGAATACAACAACAGGGTATTTAGACAAAGTGTAGGTTTATTATGTTTTGCCTGTTTCCGTTACGACTACAAAGTCAAAACTAAGCGGTATCGTATCATGGAAAACACCAGGGTTTAATTCGAGATTCAAGTTTGAAACTAAAAGTACCGTAATTTTTTAAAAGGAGAATATTGGTTGCAGTTCAAACCTAATATTATACAATGGATGTATTTCTGTATAATGTGGTGACATCCTTAGAACAACGACCGTACGCTTGGCCCGATAATGACCTGTCAGACTAAATTTCTCCGAATTAGGAAATATGAAAAAAAGAAAAAAATATTAAACAAGCTATAAGAAAATGTATTCCCTTCATGATTCGATATGAAGCTCAATCTAAAGACTTATTTTACAGTATATTGCCTGCTAGTAGGATATTTATTATACCGATCCGACCGATTGGAACACAAGGCTCGAAACATGAACATACCAAAAAATAAAGCTGATCATTTTTATGAGCTAAATTACAGTCACTTCGGTGCTGTCCTTTATATTAAACATTCTCCGTAAAACCTGCCAAATTACAAAAAAACATCGATTAGGACTAGGACGATTAAACACTTTTAATTGGGTGTGACCTATATATGGGTGTTAAGTCGAATCATGGACATATTCTTGAAATATGGCTGTCACCCTCCAAGACTATAGGCTTCATATAAGTTGATATTTTGGACACGTTTCTCCAACCGAATTGACTAGATTTTGACATTTATGGTTCCCATTTGAGTAGAAGAAATTAATTTTCAAAAATAAATTAACCACATAAATGTACCATAAAGGTAATCCAATTACGTTATTTAAGAGATTTTTGACACGCTTTCTACCAACAACTGTCAATAACGGTCCACCTTTAGGTATAGCCCCCATATAACATTTACTTCAAATTTGATATTTTGAATTCAGATTTAGTGCCGAATCTTCCTAACAAAAATATTCAAATTCTGTCTATATTTATGTATAGACCTCATATAACTCTACATTTGGATACGAAAGTATTTTTAGGATTTTTGTGACACATTTTTTAACCGAATTGGCTGTATTTTAATATTTTGGGTTCCGATTGGCTTGGAAAATTGTAGTTTTATCTTTCTTTACCCCCAATGTTATATTTTTATACCCTATCACCACACTGTGGTACATGATATGGTGTCTTGGTGCATATGTTTGTAACAGACAAAAGGAAATGAGATAGAGACATGGTTCCTTTTGAGAATATGCATAATGGAATCACTTTCTGAGTCGATTTATGCATGTCCGTCCGTCTGTCTGTCCGTGTTAAATTGAAAACAAGGTACAGTCCGCATTTATGATCCGAATTGGATGAAATTTGGCACAGCTCATTTATTTGGCATTGGGATTTAGATATAGCTTCCATATATATTTTTGCCCGATTTTATGTAAATGGTGCACCAAAGTCCCTATACATCGTTCGATTCGCACGATATTTGGCATAGCGTACTGAATTGAGTGTAGAATGATGTGCGCTAAGTTTCGTGAAAATTGATTCAGATTTACATATAGGTACCATTTATATTTTCTTCCGATTTTATGTAAATGGTGCAAAAAAGTCATTCGATTTGCACGAAATTTGGCATAGCGTACTGAACTAAGTCCAGAATGATGTGTGTTAAGTTTCGTGAAAATTGGTTCAGATTTAGATATAGCTCCCATATATATGTTCGTCCGATATTTAAATTCGTACAATTTCCCTCGATCGAAAATTGATATGCAATTCTTAGGATACATATATAGAATATACCCAAAGTGGTGAATGATATCATATAGTCGACCCCGTCCGACTTTACCACTTTCCAAATTCACTCGTATTGCATAGTTCCAATGTCGCCCAGCCGAAATTAAAAAAAAACACATTTTACTTGTTTTCAATTTCATTTTATTATTCCTTGTTTCCATTGGGTTAACCACTTTGATATATCATCTATAAAAATATCACACAAATGTTTAATTTTTTTCGGACTTTTTAGACCATTTTTAAAAATGATACGTATAGTATAGTTCCAAGTCGGCCAGCCAAATAAAAAACTCTTTTTAATTGTTTTTATTTCATGTTATTATTTTTATTCTGAAATCTCTTGTCTACATTTCGTTAACAAATTATTTCTATATATTAGAATAATGGACCAGGAAATCATTATGAGGAACCTTGATATAATTTCCCCATAAATAATTTTCTTATCAATTATTTATTTCTAATTTCCTTTTTTATTTACAGCTCTCACCACACCTGGTCTATTGATGATTGCTCAGGTGTTTTTGGGTACTGAGGCCGCATGGTCAGTGACAATCTTTACATTGGCTCTTTTCGCTCATGGTGCTGTAACGCCTGGTTATTTGGGTAATGGTTTGGATATTGCACCCAATTTCAGTGGTACCATTTTTGGTTTGGCCAATACTCTATCCTCATTTGGTGGATTCCTTTCCACATGGATGGTTGGTGCCTTGACCTATGAAGATGTAAGTAAAAAATTGTTTAATAAAAATATATATTTTAATTTTTAATAATATATTTTTTCTATTACAGAAATCCTATCATCAATGGCAAATTGTCTTTTGGATATTGGGCATTACCTATATTTCCGGTGCTGTTGTCTATCTCATTATGGGCACAGGTGATTTGCAACCCTGGAACAATCCACCAGAACGTAAAAAGGTCTCTGATGTCCATAATGAGGAGGGTGTACCTTTAAAAAATTAAAACCAGAAAAATTAGTACCATGAATATACAAATTAGCTGATAAGTTTTCATATTTCCGTTTTTTCATTATTTTCATAATGTGTCTATGTCATAATTCTTTTTTCGTTTCTTATTTTATTTATGTACATTATACAAACAAACAAATTAATTATAGTTTAGCAAAGAATTTAGAATGTTGAGTGTTAAGAAGTGTGGTGAATATTATTTTTTACAAGCAAGCAAGGTGCTCTATTCTAATTTGAGAAACATACAAACAAACAAATATGTGTATACTATAGTTAATTAATTGTATGTACGTATGTATTTATTAGCCACAATTATTTTGCTATATTATGCTAGGCACTGTGATTGGAATTGAATTGAAACAAAAATCAAGTGCAATGGGAATTTTCAAGGCGTAGATTTTAAAATTATTTATTTATAAAATATTTATAATAAATTATAAATGCTTATAATTAAAAGCTATAAATTTAAAAAATTCTCAAAGCTTAGATTTTTTTAAATTATGTTTTAAAGTAATCTAAAAAAATGCTTCAAAATTCCCATTTAGTTCCAACACAGTGTTATAATTAAATTTTATATATATTTTAATTCATTTTCATAGTTCATAATGATATCTCTGTCTTTCGAGTATCGATGTTTTTCCAAACAAAACAAAAAACCCACCTTAGAAAATATGCAACTGTTTATAAGATTCCCAAAACTTGCCCAATTTTTTTTTGTTCTGATAGATTTAATTAAAAGAAAAACAATTTACAAATTTATAGAAAGACATTATTTTTTAGTTAGATTTATTAGTATATTAAAATAGAAAGGTTTTTTTCTTCAATACACAAACAATTTTTTTTAAATATTATTTTTTTTAATAGTCAACAAATTACTTAAGAATTTTTATAGGAAATAGCACATATTTTTATTTTTTAAAAATGGAAATATGGGTATAACTTGAACATGCAAAGTGAGTTATATATTTTCCTTGAATATTGTGAAGAACAACATATAGAAAATCAATTTCTAGAAATCAAATTTTCAATATTTATTTTAATATTGAAATAAAAAAATGTACACATAATTTATTCGTAAACTCCTTTAATATTGTGAAGAAAACAGAAATCGAAAATTAATTACTAGAAATCAATATTTTCAATATTTTTTTTTAATATTGTAATAAAAAATGTTCACATACTTTGTTCATAACCTCCAAGGTTTATTCATAAGGTTAACATGTAGGAGAATTCATGCCCAAGTCTTCTCTTGCTGTGTCAACATTTTAAACGCGAAATACCAATCAGAACAGGATAAAAACTAAAAATATCTTTCAGGAAAACTAAATGATAATTACTATCATTACGTTTTTCACAATATTTCGATTCGAATAAAAATATTTTTTATTTATTTATTCTTCAAACAACAAATTTGACAGTCAATTAAGACTTCGAATTCGCCTCTCTGTTAACCTTATGAGTAAACCTTGATAACCTCTTTAAATATTGTGAAGAAAAGCGAAATAGAAAGTCAATTTCTAGGAATCAATATTTATTTAAATATTGAAATAAAGAAAATATTCCCATACTTTCCTCATAACCTCACTTTTCCTTGTATGTTCAAGTGCCCACATTTCCCCAAATCTCTCTCCGCAGCCCACAACAACCCAACCAATAGGATATTACATTTATTATAATAATTTTTTTTTGTTTTACAGTATTGAAACATATTTATATTTGTTTTAAAAGCTGTGTATGTTTTTTTGTTTTTAATTTTTTCTACAATATAATAATGTCTCTAATATAAAGTCGTACAGTTTTTTATATAAGATTTTTATAATTTTAATTAAAAAATATTTTTTGTGTATACGTTTAATTTTTTTACTTAAACAGGAAAAAAAATCATCACCAACAATTAGTCTTTGTAAGATATGTGAAATAGTTTAAATAGCTCTGTTGTAATGCTAAATTAATTATAATAAAAAATATATATTTTAAAATAAAAACAATAAATTAGTTTAAATTGGATAGACCGTTCCCAGCATGTTATAAAATTAATTTTCAGCAATATGATGATCATTTTTATGTGGGATGTACAAGAAGGAGTGGACCGATGGGACCCATCATCGATCTTGGTTTAGAGTTGGTAAAAATACGACGATATGCAAAGTTTGGATGAAATCGGTTACTCCCTTCGAGAGTTATCCTGCGCAACAGCTAGTCAGACGGGCGGATATTTGTAAGTCGACTCCAAATTGTCTGAAACGGATTTGATTCAAAGAAACATGTGGTCCAAAATCAACATTTCGATGAGGCACAATTTTGCCGTAGCAACCCTCATTATCTTCTATAGGAACCTGAAAAGCTATTCTTTAGAAAATTTCCCCACTATCGGTACTCAAAAACATATTCTTTCACACTCTAAAAGTACTTCAAAAAAATATTCTTTAAGAAATTTACACTCTGTGAGCAGTTGAAAAACTATTATTTAAATAATTCTTGTTCTATTGAAACTTGGATAAATATTTCTAAAAATATCCACTCAAATATCCATCCTAACGGTACATAAAAATTTCCTTTTAATAATCCACCCGTGGTATTTTTAGTAACAATTTGAAAATTTTCAATTAAACATATATTTTTCTCGTAATTTATTGACACACATAAAAACTACATCACTTGCCCTATCCAACAGTGAAAGTTTCACTCAAATATCTTCATTCCTCGCTGATTTGTGGTCATTTGAAATTGACCATGTGTCAAAATGAGGCTGCTACACGATTCTGTTTGCCTGGTATGGCAAATGGAAAAACAGAAGAAATTGCAATTCCACAAAAACAGAAATTTGCTGGATGCGTTGTCTGTAACGCCTAAAAGTATGCTCAACATTTCGCTAACTAACATGGACACACAAAGCAAACAATCTGGCAACAAATCCAAATTTTTTCTGTTTTGTGCCATTGCAAATTCTTCACTTTTCCCATTTGCAGTACCAGGCAAACAGAATCGTGTAGCAGCTATATTTTTATACATGGTCAATTTCAAATGGCCATAACTCGGCGAGGAATTGAGGTATTTGAATGGAACTTTCACTATTGGATAGGGAGAGAAATGTAGTTTTTATGTGTATCAATAAATTACGAGAAAATGGTATGTTAAGTAGGCTTTTTTAAATTGTTTCCTAAAATTACTAAGGATTAAAGGGAAATTTTTTTACCGAAATGGTGGGAATAATTTTTAAAGAATAACTTTTGTTAAAGAATATTTTTTGAAGTACCATTCGAGCGTGAAAGAAAAGAATGTGCTCTTGAGTAAAGGGAAAATTTTTAAGGAATACATTTTTCAAGTTCCTATAGAACATCGATTAGTTTTTTAAGTACTAATCGCGATTATTTAGAAAATTTATTTTTTATTTTTCTAAACATGTTTTCAAGTGCCTGTAGAGCTTAGAATTCGAAGGAATACCTTGTCAATGCCTACTATAAGGCATGGATTTAGAAAAGGCCTCCAAGTAAAGAAGTATCAGTCAGTGTTGCGATAGATCTAAACCTTCATTTTATGGTTTGCAGAGGTCTACGTAATTAAGCAGAGATTATCTGATTTATATAATGTATATAAAATAGAAGAGATTGTCCTATAGACCCCATTCAAATTAACTTCAAATTGTCTGAAACGGATTTGGTACAAAGACACATAGGGTCTATAACCAACATGTCGATAAGGCACATTTTTACGGTAGCAAAGTGTATATAGCCATATGTCTGAAGGGTATTAAAATGTATGCCTATAATAAAAAATCACGATCCAGTAGTACTTGAAAAAATATTCTTTAAAACTTTGCTATAAAATTTAGTTAGTTAGGTATTTTTCTTTAAATTAAAAAAAACTTCCAATATGTTTCTTGTGTTTTATTGATACACATAAAAACCACAATATTTCGCCAATACAATAGTGATTCCTAAAATATTTACACCCTATCGGTACATGAAAATTTTCCTTAAAAATCCACCCGTTGTATTTTTAGTAAAAATTTAGAAAGTGCCGACACACTTAATTTATTAATACATATAAAAACTACATTGCTCTTCCTATCCAACAGTGAAAGTTCCACTTAAATATCTTCATTCTTCGCTGATTTATGGCCATTTGAAATTGACCATGTGTCAAAATGAGGCTGCTACACGATTCTGTTTGCCTGGTATGGCAAATTTGAAAACTGAGGAAATTGCATGTCCAAAAATCAACATTTTTCTGTTTTTGTGGTTTTGCAAATTCTTCAGTTTTCTCATTTGACATACCAGGCAAACAGAATCATGTAGCAGCTATATTTTGATACATGGTAAATTTCAAATGCCCATAACTCGGCGAGGAATTGAGGTATTTGAATGAAACTTTTACTATAGGATTGAGGAAGGGATGTAGTTTTTATGTGTATCAATAATTTAGGAGAAACAGGTATGTTAAGGAGATTTTTTTTTCTAAAAATACCACAGGTAGATTTCTTAATAGAAGACCTCTAAGGGGTCTTCTACATATAGAAATCATCTAAGGGACTTTCTATAGATAGAAGACGTCTAAGAGGACCCCTAATCGCTATTTCTAAGTATAGAAGTCCTCTAACGGTTCCTCTAAACTTTTAAACTCTTTAAAGGATCTTCTAGTTATAAAACACCTTTGAAGACAATTCTATAACTAGAAGATCATTTAAAGTTGTTCAATGTTTAAAGGAACTTAGAATGACATATCTGTTTGAGAAAGGTAACTGAAGGCCACACCAAAATGTGGATCTGTCGCCTTAAATATTTGTTTTTTCTATTTTCAAACTATTTTATTTAAAGTTAAAAAATAGAATATAAGTTATTTAAGGCGACAGATCTACATTTTGGTGTGGCCTTTAGTTAGCTTTTTCAAACAGATTTGTCATTCCAAGTGAGATGGTCCTAGATTTTTGAAGAGGATCTCAACTTTGTTCATCTATAGATTGGAGATTGCCTCAAAAATCTTCCCTACCCCATT